AAAAAAAAAAAAAAATTAGCCAGTTATGTTGGCAGGTGCCTGTAATCCCAGGTATTGGGGAGGCTGAGGCAAGAGAATCGCTTAAACCCAGGAGGTGGAGGTTGTAGTGAGATCACGCCATTGCACTCCAGCCTGGGTGACAAGAGTGAAACTCCTCGTAACACAAACAAAAAAACAATGAACCCAAATGAAGAGAGCCTAAGTGACTTATTTATGGAACACCATCAAGCAAACCAATATGCACATTATAGCACTTCAAAAAGAAAAGGAGAGGCAAGGACAAAGCTATTTGAAGAAATAATGACAAAAAACTTTCCAAATTTAAGGAAAAATATGGATATACGTATCTAAGAACCTCAACAACATATATAAGAACCTCTTACCTTTTTGGATAAGATAAATCCAAAAAGGAGCACACCAAGACATATATTCAAATTGTCAAAAGCCAAAGACAGGCCGGGTGCAGCCTGGGGGACAAGAGCTAAACTTCATCTCAAAAAACTCATGCCTATAGTCCCAGCTTTTTCAGAAGCCAAGGCAGGGGGATCATTTGAGCCCAGGAGTTCAAGACCAACCTTGGGCACATGGTGAAACCCTGTTGCTACAAAAAATACAAAAATTAGCTGGGCGTGGTGGCATCCCTCTACTCCTAGCTACTCAGGAGGGTGAGATGGGGAGGATCACTTGAGCCCTGGAGTTTGAGACCAGCCTGGGCAACATAGTAAACCCTGTCTCAAAAGGCATCCCCTATTCATGTATTGAAAGGTCTAAATTTTAAGACAGCAATACTACCCAAACAAGATGCAGATTAAACATAATTGCTATCAAAATTCCAATGGCTTTTTTTGCAGAAATAGGTCAGTCAGTCCTCAAATTCATATGGAATTGCAAGACACCCTTAACAGCTAATATCGAAAAAGAAAAATAAAACTGAAAGACTCACACTTCCCAATTTCAAAACAAACTACAAGGTAGCAATAATCAAAAGACTATAATATTGGCACAGAAACAGGCATGTAGGTCAATGGCAAAACCCCATCTCTACAAAAAATAGCCAGACATGGAGGCTTGGGCCTGTAGTCCCAGCTGCTTGGGAAGCCAAGGTGGGTGGATTGCTTGAGGTCAGGAGTTCGAGATCAACCTGGACAAAATGGCAAAACCTGTGTCTACTATAAATACAAAAATTAGCTGGGCGTGTTGGCATACTCCTGTAATCCTAGCTACTCAGGAAGCTGAGGCAGAATTGCTTGAATTCAGGAAGCAGAGGCTGCAATAAGCTGAAATCTCACCACTGAACTCCAGCCCGGGCAACAGAGTGAGACTGTCTCAAAAGAAGACACAAAACAACAACAACAAAAACCTTTTGTTTTTCAAAAGCCACCAGAAAAAGAAAGGACATACCATAGACTGGGAGAAAATATTTGCAAATCATATATACTATTAAGGTCTTATACCTAGAATATGCATAGAACTCTTACAATTCAACAACAAACCAACCCAATTCACACAGCCCAATTCAAGAATGGGCATAGGAACTGACAAGATATTTTTCTAAAAAAAGTAAACAAATGGCCAGTGAGAATTTGAAAATATGTTCAACATTAAGTCATTGGAGAAATGAAATTAAATGAAAATCAGCCAGGCGTGGTGGCTCATGCCTATAATCCCAGCACTCTGGGGGGCTAAGGCAGGAGAATCACTTGAACCCAGGAGGTGGAGGTTGTAGTGAGCCGAGATTGTGCCACTGCACTCCAGCCTAGGCAGCAGAGCAAGAATCTATCTCAAAAAGAAAAACCCTCCCAAATTCTGATACCTGTTTGCGTTCTTCTTTTCTTCTCCCTCTCTTCATTGCCCTCCAT